TATATCGCTTTGTTTTAAGAATTTCATTGCCCAAAATGCCACATTTTTGTTTTGGTACTCTGGGTCTTTCTTTCTGAACTTTCTCTTCTGTGGCATTTTCCTGATCCCCAATACTCATTTTTCTTGGTCTGATTAAATGCTCCTTATGTTTGTCTTTGTGCTTGTGAAAAATATGCCTAAGCAGATTTGACCGAGTTGCATAAACTCGGTCACAACCTTCAATATCACACTTGTACATTTCTTCACCATCAAATTTTGTCTGCTTTATTTTTAAACCATGGACTTCCTCAAGATGTTCAATGTAACTAGTACAGGTTGTAAATGTAGCCGTGCACTGACTTTGATCACAGTTAAACTGTTCTACACTTGCATAGGAAACCACATGTTCAATTTCATCCGCAATCATCTCATGAAGTTTTACATAATGTTGAATTAAATTAGCAAAACTAGCAAAAATTCGAGAGCAATCAGTCTCAGTACAACGGAACTCTTTGATATCATCTCCTTCCTCTGACTCCTTTTTCAAATCTTCTCCTGAGAATTTAGAGGTCTCGAGCTTGTGAATAGCTTGATAATGAAGCATTAGGCTTTGCTGTATACTAAAAGCCGCTGTGCAGCCTTCGTGAACACACTTATACGGTTTATAGGAAGTGGGCCCCTGAGTAGCCTTGGGTTCTTTCTGCATTGCTTTTTTGCGTTTAAGTTCTTTTTCCTTTCGTTTTCTTTTTATTTTTAGGCCCCTCTTATTTTTCTGATCTAGTAGTGCAAGTTGTGACTCCATAACTGGTAATTCAGCAGGTGGCCTCACCTCCTCAACTTTTGGGGATTCTTCGGCTTTTATGGGTGATAATTCTTGAAATTGGTCAGGTTCTATTTTTGCAATCCCTTGAGCAACATCATAAGACTCTGCACACCTTTTCACTTCCGGGCTTCCATTTGGCATTTCGGGGGAAGAAAAGTCATTTTCACTAGCAGATTTTTTACCATAGGGTCTTTTAATTTTTAATTTGACCATATCCTCTGAGGTAAAGTTATGCATTGCTTGACAGTGTGCTCGAAGATTTGAGTTTCTGGTAAATGTTTTTGTACATGAAGGAACAACACACTTGAAAGGGGCAAACTTTAGCTGATGCTTTTTGATCTCTTCAAGTTTTTCAGTTGTGTAATAATGAACTTTCGTATAATGCTTAAATAAAGCATCCTTAGTCATTGCACAGTAGTTACAAGTCTCCTCTTGGCAAATAAAAGGTTTTGCAATGTTTTTATCAGATAATGATGAAGATACTTCAGAGGTTTGTTCAGCAACAAGACTGTGACTTGGATTGGGGACAATTACACTGGACATTATGGGCAAAGCTTCACTAGAGGAGCAATTCTCTTCTGATGGAACAGTTTCAAGCATGACACTATCCACAAGCTGAAGGTTCTGTACCAGGTTCATGATCTCTAAAACTTGGTCATCATAAATGGTGGCGGTTTCTTGGGTTGGGGAGATTGAACAGACAGGTATGTTCATTTTGCTAAGTGGGCTAGCAGCAGTACTATCTGACATTACATTGTGCACAACCCCTGGTAAATCATCATCTACACTACCGTTTACTACAATTTGACTTTGGGGCAAAGCAGTGCAAGGTTCTTGAGCATTACTATTAATAGTATATACTTCAGTGGCAGCAGGACTCAAATTATCAAATGTCTTCTCTCTGAAATCTTGGCGGATGTCAAGTTTGTCAGTGTCTGTGCACTCAGGTGCCTTGGGTGGCAGGATTGGTGGACTGCTTTTTTCTTGTTTTACAGAATTTTGACATAATGCCTGTGTTTCTGAACTAGCCTTGATGCTCTCATTTAGACAAGACATGAACAGTTCTTTGTCAGCATTACTCAAATTCTTTGCTATATTTTCTAGTAACTCAGAACCATAGGTCATGAGATTTGGCTGCATATCCATTGACATTTGCAGATTTCCTCCGACAGCTGCCAAAATATTTCTTGCTAGTTCATGCGTAGCCTCAGCTGCCACAGGTGTTTCAGTTTTCTTCTTTTTCTTAGAAGTGCTGCTCCTTTTCTTGACAGTGGTTATGCAAGAACTGCGAGGGCCACTAATTACGGACACTCTAGTGCTGCTTACTTGTTTGGGTACATCATGGTTTTCCACAGCTGAATTGACCAAAGGATTTGGGCATAAATCACCACCAGTATTTAAAGGATCCCCACCAGGACCATGTATTCTAACAGAGGTGTTGGCATGAAGGGTCCCCAAGCTTGGAACGGCTTGTGAACTGGAAGTGGTTGTTAGGGCATGTGTTTCGACAATATTTGTTGGGTCAGTTGAATTTATTTGTGGGGTGCAGGGCACACAGCCATTCAACACTCTATTAGAAGATAGCTGACTGTTAGCATCATTTTCTGGGTCTACAAAATTTTGTTTGCCAGTATTTGCTTTATTTTCATTGGGGCGAAAACTGGAAATACCAGGACGTGAAAACTCTGCAGCAATATATGCAGCACTTTCATTTCCAGGTTGGCCAGATGAAAGAAAATGTTCATGTTTAGCAGTCACTTCTGGGCTAAAAGTCTGCTCTGGTGGCATTTGTGCTTTTTGGTTTGGACTAGATGAAAGAATCATGCTTGCCAAAACAGAAGGCTGTCCATCTCCCTGTGGAAGTAGTGGAGGAATGCCATAATCATTGTGTGGCTTACAAACTGCTCGTTTTGACAAATGGCCACCTAACGACCGTGGGTTAGTAAAAGCTCTAAAGCATCTACTACAAATAAATTTTCCATCTTTGATAATTGCAGGAAATTTTGCACGAGGACTGTGCTTCACTCTCTTCTCTTTATTTCTTGCTAGCCCACTAGTTGCAGCATTTTTGTCGGCTGAGTTTGAAAGCATGCTAGATGATTTTTCTAAATTAAAGGTTGCATCCATGTCTGTGCTGTCAACTTGTTTGGAAAAGGAGGTGTCTGTGTCAACATCTTCCTTCATAAACACTGAATTTGGAGCTTCACTTCCAGTTAGAACATGGTCTGCACTTCCCCCTAGCTGAGAAAACATTGTGCTTCCACTAAGTGATGACATAACTGGCAAAGGATCATTCTCTGTTGGCATTGGCAAAAATGGATCAGATCCATTTTCAAATTTCATGGGTAAGACTTTCGCCAAATCCTCTATTTGTGAAGTCATGCCAGCAGTATTCAGATTTCCAACATCAGTGCTTAACAGAGTTTCAGCAACATTTTTGGATATTTCTTGGGTCATAACAGTTTCTACAGGACTGAGTAATGGGTTCACCAAGTTTTCAAGATGTGTTGGGAAGACGGAATTAGGAAGGTGTTGCAAGTGATTACAGAAGTTATGATTAGCCTGTAAGTGTGGCTGGATGGAGTTATTTGAGACATCTGGTCCCAGGAGTATGGAATAAGTGGAGTTCTCATCAGGAGGTGGTAATGGTATTCCAGGTTTTTGTTTCTTTCTATTCTTGCGCTCTGTCTTAAATGAATCATAATGTTCGGGGTGAGTACTCTTCATGTGTTTGCCAATGCTCTGAACAGAATTATATATTCGTGTACATCCCTCAACATTGCATTTAAACCTTTCAATTGGTGCAGGTGCAACAGGGGTGACTGAGGCATTACAGACAGTGGGCAAAACATTTGATAGAGCGTTGCTAGTTTCAAGGGACAATGATAAAATATTTTCAGATTTAGAATTTTCTTCATATCCAGAAATAATTAGATTATTTTCACACAATTGGCTAGTTTGGTTGTGCAAATTAAAAGGCATTATGCTATTTATATTTGCTGTTGACCTTCCATTTTCCTTTTAACCATGTTCATTACACCAGTATGATCTTTGCTTGAGTTATCTTGACAGCTCTTTTTCCCATCTTGAAATAAAGCCAAATGCTGGACTTCAAATCCTGGGAGTGCCATCCTTTGTGTTTCACTGGCATTGTCTATATTTCCACTTGGAAGAAGTTTGTTTTGATTTGATAGATCATGGAAGCCTTCAGGCACAGATGGTAGTTTAAAATTTCCTGAATCCCCTGGAAAAGCAGAAATCAACATGCCAGCCTTCGGTAGTATACTGTGATCATTGGATGGAGATGCTAAAACCTGAGTTAGCAAGTTTGCAGTGGGTAGAATATGAGTAGGTTGCGTAATAAGTTGGTCTATCAAATGCTCTGAACTTTTCACTTCACAGCTGCTGACAGCTGCCATTTTCTGTGACTGTAATGATGTTTCAGGTAGACCAGGATCTTTATTCATGATAGAACATGAAATGTTTGCAGAGTATAATGGCTCTACTTTAATGTTAACGTTCACATTACCACCTGCCAGCAGTTTTTCTTCAAACTGAACACCTTCAATGTTTATTCCAGTCTTTGTCACCTGAGTCAACGCTCCACTTTTACTGGATTCTGGCAGTGTGGTTTCAGTTCCATGCTCACTCAGATGCTGCTCTAATTGAAGTTGAGAACGAAAGATCTTTCCACAACCAGCATGCTTGCACGTGAAGGTATTATAGTGTTGTGCTTCATGGTCAAAAAGCATGTAAGCAGCAGAAAATATTCTCCCGCAGTTGGGAAACATGCATTTTGCTTTAAAATGTCGATGCTCCTTTCGATGTGCCAATAAGTCTGTGTAACTCTCAAAGCTTGCCTTGCATTTCATTTGTATGCAAATGTATGGTTGGTTTTTCCACAGTGCATTTGTAAATGATCATTTAAGTGAGTCAGGCTAACAAACTGTCGCCTACAATACTGGCAAACTACTTTCTTACTTTGTATTTCAAGGAAACGTGTAGCTTCTTCACTGTCCTTGTGCCCCCTCACATGGGCAATTAAATTTTTGAAGTACTTAAATCCCTTGTTACAAAACTGTACAGGGCAGGGGAACTCGTTGACTGGTTTTTCAGGGTGAAAATTCCCAGACTTGTCTCTGTCATCATTTTCATCAGAATTGTCATTATCATTGAACACTATAAAGTCATCTGAATAAAAAGTGTTCTTTTTCACTTGCCTCTCTTGTTTTGTAATGGTTTCTGGTTTCTTACATGCAGGCTCCTTTTTAGGTAACTTTGGCAATCGCTTGAGAGGTTTCATGGTTTCCAGTCTCTCTTTGCAGGATTGCTTAACATGCAACGTTACATGAGGAATAAAGGTTTCTTTAGTGGTATATTGTTTTGCACATATTGGGCAGCTATAGATGCCATCTATACAATGTTTCTGTGCATGCCGAATGATCCGGTGACCAAGAAACTCCTTGTCACATAACACGCAGTACTGCATATAAGCTTGCCTGCCAGTTTCTAAATCTTGCCGAAACATATCCATGTTCTCTCATTTTCTTAATTGGTCTCTTTTTTTTGCTTTTCTTTCCTGATCTCCTGAATAGGGGCAGCATCAAAGCTTTCAAGTCCATTTGCTGTATCATCCTTAAAATTCCTCGTAATTATCCATTTGATCATATGCTTCATTATCGTTCAACTCATCAATAGAAGACACGATAGATGCCTGTTCTCCCATTAAAGCAAGGCATTGACGCTTTAAAGTTTTCCAGTCCCAAAACTCTGGATCAAAAGGCCATCTAGTTTTCAAGACCAACAACAGTTCACACCGCAGTGAGTTTGGTACAGGAAGACTTTCCTCATCATATTTTTGGTCTGGCTGATTATATAGCATTTCAACAGCATAATATGCATCCACAGTAGGCTCCAAAAGAAACTCAGTGAGTTGACAGGCTCTCTTAACCTCCAGATCATCAGGTAATAAACAGGAGATTGTCTTGCAAATAGAGATTTTAACCTTGGCATTTTCACTTGACTCCAATCGTAGGGCTCGGACACACAATTCAATACAGGTTGGAAGTCCTGCAGCTTCAGTCTGGAACATTAAAAAAAAAAAAAAGACAATTACTAACTTGGCAAACATTTTTAACTCCTTAGCGACTGATGGTAAAACATATGTTAATGCCGAAACAAAATTTTGCAATGTGACATGTGTTAGTAAAACTGTTCATATCATCGCAACTACTTTGTGTATCCAGGTGGATTGCACCTTGTATCATTTTCAGGACAAAATGGGCTTGTTTTTGGTGGTAAATGGTAATGGATATCGCCTGTTTTAATCGAAGCAAAACTGTCTCAAAAGAGAAACAAAAAAATCATTTTTAAATGTATATACTTCTATTACCATAATTTACCATGAAACAAAAACCCAAAATAAAATATCCTGCCCCTGACAATGGCAGCAATAAAATCTAAATTGCTCCTGAACAAAAATCAGTGTACTTTCCGACATCTGACTGCGCCCATCTCTGCTGTAGCACTTCTTCTCTGTAGACTAATATTTGAAAATCTTCAGTACGTGATCCAAGACACCCTTGCCTCTGACTGTTAGTAACAAGAAATAAATATTTGGTTATATCACTATTGTGCTGCTCTATGTTCCTCTACCAAAATGGTTGGTTCTAAAGGCTGTATAGAACAAGGCATTGTAAATCCACAATAAGGGAAAAGAGCAGCTGCAGGCAACCTACTTGCAATACTGATGACTAGCCCTTTGTTCTCTGATTGCCTTTTTTGGGAAACAACTCAGTACAGGTCCTCTTTGAATCTAATCTGGAGACCTGTTTTTACAGGCCGCAACCATGTAAAAACATTTGGGTGAGAGATCTATTTTGCTTGTAGTCCTGGAAAGATTTGCATCTGCCTGCAAGGAATATCTACAAATAAATCCTAAATACACTTTTTAGTTACATTTGGACTTGATTGTATTAAAGCCCATCAACATAAATTACTTGTACTGTGTTCTTTCACCTTTTCAGAAAAAAATTAAACCGTGATTTAAAAAAAAAAAAAAAAAAAAAAAAAAAAAAAAAAAAAAAAATTTCCCCCACCCCCACCTGGTCCCCACTATACTTACCTCAAAGTATGCCGAGCTGTTCGCCTCCATGCTGCTGGTCCAGTGGTCTGGGTATTTGAAATCCCTGCTCTTCTCTGTGCCGTGCTTTCGGCACAGAGCAGAGTGATTCACTGTGCAGATGGTGACCAATCAGAATTGCTTGTCTCTTTCGAAAGAGCTGCACAGAGGAGAGGGAGAAAAGCAGGGATTGCAAAAAATTGGACTGCTGGGCCAACTACATTGGCACTTACAGCTACACATCCCGGAAGTACAGTGGGGATGGGGAGGTGGAAATACATTAAATTCTACTCTTAAATTCGAAAGAACTATTAAAATATGTAATATAATTTTTACCTCTGACTGAATAACCTTGATTAGAAAGAAGATATGATACACTGTTTTTGTCAGCTGAGACAGTTGGCGACATATTTCCAGATACACCTGGATAGATGGCTCAACCCTTCTTTGTAGTTTGCTCCAGAACAGTGTTAATTCCCTGTAAAAACAAAATTACGGAGATTTAAAAAAACAAAAACCCACAAACTCAAAAGGTTAGATACTAGCTTTTACAAAATAATTTAGTGTTGCGCCAAGTGTAACCAAACAACTGTAAACAAATAAATTAGAAATACATTAAATAATAAAGTGCTCAAAATCCACATAAGTGAAATCAAGCACAGACAGTCCATATAATAAACAGTAGTATTATATGGACTCTCTGTGCTTGATTTCACTTATGTGGAGTTTTTAGCACTTTATTGTTCACTTATTATTTAATGTATTTGTAATTTATTTGTGTACACTTAGAGAAACACTAAATTATTTTGTATATGCTGTTTGAGAGGGGATATCCTCTGGGTGTGTTTGCAGCTTTGTATAAATGTGAGCGTGGGATATTTGCGTAGTTTAGATTATTTTTTTTTCTTAGATACTAGCTTTGCCAGAGCTCAAATAAGTGGAAGCAGGCTGTTTCCAAAACAACTGGAAACGGAGATGTTGCTGCCATGGATTAGGAATTCAACCCGGCCTGTGCCATTTTATAGACACACAATCAACATAATTTTTTGTTGTTTCACAGTGACAACGGGGGGGGGGGGTGTTTATCAAAACAGGAGCAGACAGAATTTGGAGCAGCTGTGCTAAGCAACCAATCAGCTTCTATTGCCCTTTTTTTTTATTAGTTAAGCTTTGTAAACAAAGCAGAAGCTGACTTAAAAGAAAGAAAAAATACTTAAAACTTTAAAGCCACCTAAGTATAATAAGCAAAGAAATAAAGCTGAAGTAATGTAGGCAACAGAGTGATTGAGATAGTTTTCAGTGCCAAAAACCTGACACAGATAATCAACTTACTAATTTTATGGTGCTTGCTTACAGCAGCTGAATTTCTTTGCTTAGCAGGCCCTGCTTACATGGTCACTCAAGCACTTCAGTGACAAAAGCAAGTGTAAATCAAAACAAATCATGATAGATGTGCACTTTTAAGATAGGAAGTTAGACAGGTAGCTTGTGGTGCACACAAACAGGACACTGTGTATATCTGGCCACATACTATACAAATGTTTGCCATATCCTGTAAAGCAGTTTGAAATTTGCTACAGAGCGGCCCTGTCAACCCCCTCCTGCCTGCCACCCTTCATATGAAAAATTTAAGAAACTGGACAAAAAAATTTTCAGACACCAAACCCAATAAGATGCAGCTGCTGTCAGAATACTGTAGGCACACTGGGAGATTTGTCCATCCATATTGTATAGCGTGGATGGAGCAAATTAGTTTCAGCCCTCAGTTTTGCAACTTTGGATTTTACTTGATCTTTGCACAAATATTCTTGTGTCAGTGAGAAGCTACAGTCATACACACACATTTTTAGATAAAGCTTTTGGTACAATTGATTGTAGTTCCTGTTCATTGTATTACAATACCTTAATTCTCTGGGTGAATGGACAAAAAGTGTATGTGGAGAAAGGGGGGGGGGGGGGTCAGAGGGACATTTTAGGCAGTGGTAAAATTTTAGAGTTACTAAATCTTCCCCACTCTAGATCTTCAAAAACGTGGCTAGCATTTCATTTGGAAGTTCTGAAAATGTCCTCTGCTCATTTAATTCACAACTTACCATGCACAATACATTTCCCCAAACTGTAGTTGACGGGACAGAAATGCTGCACACAGTATAAGTGAGGTTTTCTCGTCCCCCTGACTCCAGATTACAGATCATTTCCAATGCATCCTTACAATCTACTCTGGCAATCTAAAGAAAAAAAATACAAAAGCAAAATATGAATAACTTTAAAAAGTGTATATGCATCCAAAACTAAAGAAAACCGCCATATGATAGGGCTCAGAAAGCATGTAAAAATATAGGGCCAATTTCCAACAATAATAGCAGCACTTGTGGTGTTGCCAAGTCTAGGAATAGGCTCCGGAGTGGAGTATACAGGTACAAAATAATTTAAATTCAAATCAAAATAATTTGAATAATTCTGTTACTAAAATGTACGTCAAACTATCATTTTCCTATTCCACCACTTCAGAGCAAGAATTATTGCAGAAATCCATTATTCGGGCAAGTTCTAAACCTTGATTAGGTTATGATTTTGTTCAGCAAAACAGCCAAATAGAGACATAAAAGGATTGGCAGCGGAAAGAGCTGGGATTTTCTCAAAGCACATTGCAGAGAAAGAAAAAAAAACAACAAAACAAACCAGACCTCTTCTATAAGCTTTATGTTTGGTGAGGCTGCACAAAGGCATTTCAGGTAGAGCTGTTTGAAGTGCCCTTTCCTGCTCATCTCTGGGTGGTCAGAGCATAACTTTGCCAGGGATGTTGCCTCAGCCACTTTGCTGAGTTTAAGAAGTCGCTTAATTCGCATCTCCAGTAGCAGTGGGCCTTCCAAACACAGGAAACCATCAGCTGTGGAAAGACATAAGCCAGTTTTAGAAATAGAAATATAACGGTTTACAATACCCATAAAGCTCAGAAATATACTAAAAACAAAACACATGCACATATGTAAACACGAATATTGTGACGAGAGACAGTGATCCTCACTAATGAAAACACAGATATTGCAAATATTATGCCAAGCTTTTACTGTAGCCTAAAGAAAACTTTTCCATCCAAAGCTGCAAACAAATAAAATAAAAAAAGGACAAAGATGCCATTGATTACCACTTGCTGTCTGGACCAATTCTGACATTTCTCTCATAGGTGTAAAGACCTGCATTTTATTGTTGGAAAATTACTTCAAACCCTCATACTTATTGCTTCTGAAAGCTAAGGCTCTAGAGAATAAAATGGTGGGTGTTGCAATTTTATATGTTAGACAACATTTTCACAGCCATTTATCAAATGCACATTTTCAGGAAAATAATCAGTATAATGAATTTTAGAGCACAAACACAATACTAACATTTTTGGTAAAAAAAATGTTACACTAAGTAAACGTTTCAAAACTGCACACTCCAGTGGAATGGAAAAACGCTTTAAAAGTCATTTCAGGTTACCAGTTAAGAGATAAACACTGTTGCTATCACTCTGATGTTCGTGGCGATATCTCATACGAGGTGTGTGTTCACCGTTTATACATGTGCATTCATGTTTGCACAGGAGCACAAGGGGGTGGATGCTCTTGAATTTTTTATTTTTTAACATGGTCTCTAAATGGTTTTTGGATCCGCTTTATTGCCATCAGAAGGGATAAACAACATGCCTTATGATAGCATAGGCAGTGACAGATACTCAATACCAAAAGATCTGAGGTCTACTATACCTTGAATCCACCTGTGGTAAATTAAATCGATTGGACATGGATTTGGAAAGGCACACACCTCTCTATTAAAGGCCTCACAGCTGACAATGCATACTGTATCAGAGCAAAAGCCATGATGCCAAAAAGTAACTGCCTGTAGAGCTCATAGACAGGATTATTGCAAGGCATAGATCTGGGGAAGGCTTCCAAGAGCTGGAAGCCTGGACAAACTGAACAATCGGGGGAGAAGGGCCTTAATAAGAGAGGAGACCAAGAACTTGATAATAACTCTGACTGAACTTCAGAGATCCTGTGTGGAGATGGAACAAAGTTCCAGAAAGACAACCATCACTGCAGCCCTCCACCAATTTGTGCTTTTATGGCAGAGTGGCTATTCACTGGGTGAATCTGGTGGAAACACAGTTAAAAGGTCTTGTAGATCAGACTTAGCAAAAGCATGCAATGCCCATCCACAGCTAACAAAGCGAACAAAATACTCTTGTATTAAAAGGGGGAAATATTGATCACCAATCCACAGAAAACATGGCATTGAATTAGAGATAAATCATAGGAAAGGCAACAAACTTAGGAACTGGGGGATATGATCTCAATGTAAAAATATATGAAAAGTGATTATATAAACTGTAATAGCAGGTTTAGGAAACCTGAACACGACAGGTTGCTGCAATTTAAGACTAGACAAAAAAAAGGGTGTCCTTTACTGTTACAGCATTGAAAATGTGGAACCTTTTTCACAGGAAGTGGAAATAAATGAAAGTGTGGAACAACCTTTAAATACCCCCCGTCAGAAAAATATACAGGGCCATGAGAGTTCTTAAAAATTAATAGGAGGTTGACCCATGGATCCAATTGCCAGTATGGGGGTCATAAAAAATGTTTTTCTTTCAGCTTTTAACCTTACAGCACATTGACTGTAGCAGGTTTTCTTTTTTGCCTTCCTCTATTAAAGACATAAAATTCGCAGAGAGGTTGACTTTGAGGGATGTTTGTCTTTTTCCAACCATATTTACTATGCAACTACATGGGAAAAAGAGAGTTTCACCTTTAGATGCTACATTGCAATGCACACAGGAAAAAAAATGGTTAGCAACAACATTAAGATGTATGTAAACCCTAATGATTTCTTCTTTTTGCTCCCTTATGATCTGTTAAATATATAAGTGAAAGCATTTTGTTATATTTGTCTGATGAGTGCAAAAAATAAAGAGCCATTCATCCAACCATAAATCTTCTGAGCTAATAACTTCCTGTGCTCTGCTCCTCTACAGACAGTTATCAGATAGCAATGCTACTAGCCATCTCCGCTGACTACGGAAAAACTCCCATTATGCTACAGGAAGGGAGGTGTTGTGTAGTTTGAACTTACTCCCTTTCTAGGGTTCGAAAACTGCTCCTGCAAGAAATAGGGTTGTCACCTGAGGACAGGAAGTGAAGTCACTGATATTTGGCAACATTTTATAAAGCTTTGCAATAGCGGAAATCCTGAATGACAGTGTATTTGTTTACGTGAGCAACTGACGCTCAGGAAGTAAAATCACACACATACGGATAAGAATGTGTTGTGATACCACTTCCTATGCAAACATGATGTGGAAGCACTGCGTTTACAGTCACTGCAACAGAGAGCTACTATAGATTAGCTTTGTGCTGGACCCTGGCTGCCAGCTGGCACTTCCAGTGCTGAAGATGGCTGGAACCCACAGGAGAGGCCAAGTCCTGGTGGCATTTCAAAATGACACCTAGGACTTGACATTTCTCCAAAAAAAAAAAAAAAAAAAAAAGAAAAAGAAAAAAAAAAAAAAGCAACACCATGTGTCAGTCAATAGTAAATATGAAGTTATGCTCAAGACTAAGGCATCCCTAGTTGCTGTCCAAAGGAAAGTGTTGCAATCGGCTAAAATAGCTCTATTGGCCACAGAGGATAAAAGAAAAACCCACCTAAAGTATTGCATAGCTTTGTTAATGCAATTCAAGGGTCACTTCTGTTCTAGACAAAAGCAATATCAAACTACACAGCTTAACTTTTATCATGAATACATAACAATTTATCACTGCCAGTAACCTTACAGTTTCTGTGAATATGCAGCGCTGTATTTCAGCCTTAAGCCCTCACATGAAACACAATACCATACAATTACAGGAAAAGAAACCTTGGCATTCTGTCCATCAGTGCAATTATCTTAATTGAAATTAAGCTTGCTTGTATGACCTTGGTAACACAATGTCAGATTTAGATCTATTATCTGGCTCACACAAGCTAAGAAAATGGGATTTTGTAGTCCAGTCTAAGTAAAAAAAACAAAGTGATAAATTAAAGTTCATTATCTATAACCCTTCAGATAACAGTGCATATTGTTACACATGGATATCTAGAGAGCAAAAATAATCACAAAATAAAAGGTGTTACCCTGATGGGGGTCCTGGATTTGACTGTTAAGTATCTTGTCCAGAACTGGATCCTTCCACACACCAGCTTCTTGAGACATGTTGTACAAGAGTAAAAGTTCATGGCTGCCATTTTCAGTTAACAGTTCATGAGCAGCCTAGAAAAGCACATGAAAATTCAGCTTTATTTTATTACGCGGATGACTAGTTTCACCATTTTATTATTTATATGCACACATCAAAATACAACTGCAGGTGAAACTCGAAAAATTAGAATATCGTGCAAAACTTCATTTATTTCAGTAATGCAACTTAAAAATCCACAATCTCAGAAAATTAGAATATTACATGCAATCAATAAAACAAGGATTGTACATAGAACAATATCGGACCTCTGAAAAGTATAAGCATGCATATGTACTCAGTACTTGGTTTGGGCCCCCTTTTGCAGCAATTACTGCCTCAATGCGGCGTGGCATGGAAGCTATCAGCCTGTGGCACTGCTGAGGTGTTATGGAAGACCAGGATGCTTCAATAGCGGCCTTCAGATCTTCGGCATTGTTCGGTCTCATATCTCTCATCTTTCTCTTGGCAATGCCCCATAGATTCTCTATGGGGTTCAGGTCAGGTGAGTTTGCTGGCCAATCAACCACAGTAATCCCACGGTCATTGAACCAGGTTTTGGTGCTTTTGGCAGTGTGGGCAGGTGCCAAGTCCTGCTGGAAAATGAAGTCAGCATCCCCATAAAGCTTGTCTGTGGAAGGAAGCATGAAGTGCTCCAAAATCTGCTGGTAGACGGCTGCGTTGGCCCTGGACTTAATGAAGCACAGTGGACCAGGGTGGATTTGATTTAAATCAAACTGATTTAAATCACTAGTCAGTAAGGCTTGATTTAAATCCTAGTTTTCTACTTAGACTAATTCTTGCTGGTATAACTTTAATATGCAAGTAGATGAAGATTTTTAGAACAACAACTTTTCATATTAGTTTTTTTATCCCCAGTTTAATAGGTTAATCATTCATATTTGGACAACTTTTCTGTTGTACTTAGGAAGGAGAAAAATAATCATTACCTTAATAATAAAAATTTAAATAGATTTATTCAACTGAAACAATGACATTCCAGCATATGTTATTTGCTTAAACACACATCCATGTTTGTTAACTAATTTGGCTAAACAAAATATATATATTTTAAGAAACTTAGACTGTCAGCCCCTTCCTCCTCACACTTAGTTTCACTTTCTTCTTGTGCAGATCTATTCCACTCCAAACAATCAGAAAAATATTGTTTCTATTCTATTCACTGAACTTCTTGAAACTCAGCACTGAAGGGGTTGATTCTGTATTCATAGGTTTGTAGAAGTTAGGATTAAGGTCTTTTTCTTAACTCTGTTCATGTTCTAACATTTTTGCTGTGAAGAAGAGGCATGTTACAGTTTAACCTGTAAATAGCATATAAACCAACATTCCAGTTCTGATTAAATAAATTTCTCTATACAAACTGCAAGGATTTGGTAACATGATAAAACACTGTAGTGATTGTGAATTTGATTAGTTTCTATGCATTTGTAGATGGATCCGTGGCGAGCAATCTGGCAGTGAGCACCTATTGGAGCCCTCCATGCAAGAGT